AACATAATGGAGTGTGGTGGAAGCTGTGGCCTGTCTGTCCACACCATAAGATGGTCCAACATAGGACATACGTTTCTTATCAATAAGACTTCAAGGTTCTCTGTTTTACAATCATAATCATACGGAGAGTTTGTGGATTGCTTTCTTGTAATGGCCCATGCCCACCACTAGCTGATATTTTCCGCTTTGGCCCGTTATGTATCGCCGTCAGGCTTACAGTTTTAAAACGCGTCTGTTAGGGAGAGGTTTCCACGTCCTTATAATGAATTGGTTTGTTTCCCTTTTTAGCCGATGTGGGATCTCACAATCCACCCCCCTTGGGTGTCCAGCGTCCTCGCTGGCATACTGCCCGGTGTTTAGCTCTAATACCATTTGTAACAGTCTATGCCCACCGTTAACAGATATTGTTCGTTTTGGTCCGTTACGTATAGGCGTCAACCTCATGGTTTTAAAACGCATTTGTTAGAGAGAGGTTTCTACACCTTTATAAGGAATGTTTTGTTCCCCTCTCCAACCGATGTGGGATTTCATAATCCCCTCCTCTTAGGGGCCCAGCGTCCTTGTGTCTGGCTATGATACCGTTTATAACAGTCCATGTCCACCGCTAGCAGATATTGTCTACTTTGGCCCGTTACGTATCATTGTCAACCTCACGGTTTTAAAACGCGTCTATTAAGGAGAGGTTTCCACACCCTTATCAGGAATGCTTTGTTTCCCTCTCCAACCGATGTGGGATCTCACAATCCACTCCCCTTGGGCGCCCAGCGTCCTCGTTGGCACACTGTTCGGTGTTTGGCTCTGATATCATTTGTAACAACCCATGCCAACCCTAGCAGATATGACCCGTTACGTATCGCCGTCAGCCTTATGGTTTTAAAACGTGTCTGTTAGGCAGAGGTTTCCACACCCTTATAAGGAATGTTTTGTTCCCTTCTTCAATCGACGTGGGATCTCATATTTCTCTAGCTGAAACTGGATTGTGTTAATGGATGGGCAAAACAAGTTCTTTATTGGCCCCTTTTAGCAAAAGCAGCCGCTACTATTAATCTGTCAGCTTTCTCCTTTCACTTGTAAAAAAGGAACACTAGACTTTCCGGATTGTGATTACCATACTGTTATATTCTCCTAGTTGTGTTATTCTAGCATTTTCTCCCTTTAACTGTACACTCCCACCTCAGCCTCCCATCATCCTTTTATATTCATGCAGTTAATCCCGACGTATTATGTAACTTTTGATTTTGCTTCCTTATTTTCAATGGAACTAACCTCGTCGATCTTCGCATGATTAGCGCAACGTCCAACAGCATTTTAGATCGTGCTATTGATTCTGAAGATTCACTGCACAAAGATTTCCTTAGACTGGTAAGACAATCTAAATGGATTTATTATCATATAAAAGAATGATTAGACATTCAGCTTGTAAACTGAATCATGATGTGCAGGAGCATATTGAAGGGTACCACGAATTGTCTGCAAAAACAAAAGCCTTCTTTTCCACTGCCGTTTCTATATGGGATGCTGACTTCTATGTTAAGATAGATGACGATGTCCATGTGAATTTAGGTACGTTTCACGTCGTTAAGTTGCTATCTCTTCTACGTATGTGAAAGCTAAAAATAGATTTATCACGATCGCGTTTCTTATAATTCTTCCCCATACAGGGATGCTAGCTACCACTCTGGCTTACCACCGGTCAAAGCCCAGAGTCTATATTGGGTGCATGAAATCTGGACCTGTTCTATCTTCAAAGTAATTTTCATGGACTGTTTATCATGTTTATTGAGAGTGGAGGATTTGTAATAATATGCTTTCTTTTTGTTTATTTATTTGATCATAGGGCTGTCAAATACCATGAACCTGAATTCTGGAAATTTGGAGAGGAGGGAAATAAGTACTTCAGACATGCAACTGGACAGATTTATGCAATCTCAAAGGATCTAGCCAACTACATTGCGAATAATCAGTAAGCTTATAGCTTTCCTGTGTACAATTAGAGTACATAAAGTAAACACATCATCATAGCTTGTGTAAGTTTCTTAATATATATGAAGTTGTTCATATAAATTTGTCTAAATGGATCGAATATGAACTGAATCAAAAGAAAATGTTATGTTCTTTGATGTATATGGGAAGTTTTTCTTAGTTGATGAGCTTGCAGCTCTTTTTTACGTTTTAATGGTGAGGTCTCACATTGGTTGGAGAGGGGAATAGAGTATTCGTTATAAGGATGTGGAAACCTCTCCCTAGTAGATGTGTTTTAAAACCGTGAGGTTGACGGCGATACCGTTGGCCAAAGTAGACAATATCTGCTAGTGGTGGGCTTGAGTTGTTACAAATGGTATCAGAGCTAGACACCAGACGGTGTGCCAGTGAGGACGTTGGGCCCCCAAGGGGGGTGGATTGTGAGATCCCACATCTGTTGGGAAGAGGAACGAAAACTTCTTATAAGGGTGTGAAAACTTCTCCCTAGTAGACGCTTTTTAAAACTGTGAGGCTGGTGATGATACGTTACAGGCCAAAGTGAACAATATCTACTAGCGGTGGACTTGCACTGTTATAAATGGTATCAGAGCCAGACACGGGGCAGTGTGCCAGTGAGGACACTGGGCCCCAATGGGGGTGGATTATGAGATCCTACATTGGTTGGGGAGGATGAAACATTCTTTATAACGGTGTGGAAACCTCTCCCTTGTAGACGCGTTTTAAAACTGTGAGGTTGACAACGAAACGTAACGGACCAAAGCGGACAATATTTGTTAACGGTAGCCTTGGGCTATTATGTTATCTTACAAGTTATAGACGGTAGATTTTACTTGTTTATTACTAATGGAATGGTAAATGAGCTCAGCCTCGTGTTAACACTAAACGTTTATGACTTTTGGCAAGTTATATATATCCTCCACCTCTCTTTTAGGAAGAAATATGTATGTGATCTTTGTATCAGATTCTTAATGATGGGATTTCAAAATCTAAACTTGTGGATGCAGGCTAATTCTGCACAAATATGCTAACGAAGACGTGTCGCTCGGTGCTTGGTTAATTGGGCTTGAAGTCGAGCACATAGATGACCGCAATATGTGCTGCGGGACTCCACCTGGTAACGTTTTCATCAGATGAACCTGATCATAGCATAGTTTCATCTTGGTCTTTCTCTAAAGACATAAAATGTTTGCAGATTGCGAGTGGAAGGCACAGGCAGGAAACATGTGCGTTGCATCATTCGACTGGAGTTGCAGTGGAATATGCAAATCTGTGGAGAGGATCAAGAATGTCCATGAAAAGTGTGGTGAAGGGAGTGCGGCTGTGTGGAGTGCCTTAATCTAGCTCAACGCTTCTCTTTGTCTTGGATTTTTGATATCATTCAGCTGTGATCAGACACAAGCTGGACACTGTTTGGGAGTTCAACTGGCTACGAAACGTTATCTCGGAACACTGCACGTAAAACCTCGAAAGAAGTAACGTATGAGCGTGCAGTGGTGGAATGCATTCGTCGAAAAAAAAGTAGTTTCTACCACAAAACTTCCGGTTTTGTTCGTGCGAATCAGATTCATTTATACCTCTGTTTGTTGCTTGATCATAGGATTTAGGTTATACAGCCACAGTGTATTGTGTAATTTAGGCTGAGTTCTTATGTTGGATGTGTTGGACTCTGTTTATTTATGTCATTTCTTTGTATAGTGTAAAGAGAATGATTGTTTCTATTGGAAGTGATCATACTTTCTGTAGTCTGGAGCTGGTCGATGATATATGTATTAAGGAGCTGCGTTCTTTTCAAGCTGATGAAACTTTTAGCATCGCGAATCATGAGAATACAGCTACCTTCCTGGAAATCGAGTTCCACAAGGCCGACATCGACATCGGCGTTGGCAGCGACATGGCCTGTAAGATTGTAACACCAATATCTGGCACACTCTCGTGATAGTAAACAGCTTGAGAAACTGGCAACTTGGAATCAATGTGGTTGATTGGGGAGGAGAACAAAATACCCTTTAAGGGTGTGGAAACCTTCCTCTAACAGACGCGTTTTAAAGCCTCGAGGGGAAGCTCGAAAGAGAAAGGCCAAAGAGGACAATTTACGCGTTTTAAAGCCTTGAGGGGAAGCCCGAAAGAGAAAGGCCAAAGAGGACAATTTTCGCTAGCGGTGGATCTGAGTCGTTACAAATGGTATAAGAGTCAAACACCAGACGATGTGTCAACCTTCTCGCTGTTCCCCGAAAGGGGTAGACATGAGGCGATGTACCAGTAAGGATGTTGGGCCCAAAGGAAGGGGGGTGGATTTGGAGGGAGTCCCACATCGATCGAAGAAATGAATGAGTGCCAGCGAGGACGCTGGGCCCGAAAGGGGGTGGATTGTGATATCCCATATTAGTTGGGGAGGAGAACAAAGGGGGAAGCCCAAAAGGGAAAATCAAAAGAGGACAATATCCACTAGCGGTGGATCTAGGTCACTACAAGTAATGCATTCAATCCATCCCTTCTACCGGGGTTGAAACCTCGGGCATCGAATCAGACTATGGTTCGACATCGTCTCTGTCTCTCCTCGACAAACAAGAAGAAGAAAGCCTGAAAGGGAAAGCCAAAAGAGGACAATATTCGCTAGCGGTGGATCTGGGTCACTACAAATAATGCTATTCAATCCATCACTTCTGCCGGGGCCGAAACCTCGGGCATCGAATCAGACTGTGGTTCAACATCATCCCTGTCTCTCCTCGGACAAACAAGAAGAAGAAGAGTTCCGCGGGAAAAATATAAACTCTAAACACAAATTTAGTTCCTATAATTTAAAAAAATTAAATTTTAGTGTGTATAATTAAATAAAACTTCGAAATCGTCTATATTATAGGAATTTCTTTGGGACAAATTTTATCATTTTAAATCAGAAAATTAAATTTTAATTTTTTTCAAATCTACCAAAATTTAATTTAACCAACGTCTGGTGGAAGACAATAAATTACTATATATATATATATATATTTATTTATTTATTTATTTAGTCCATTCTAACGCCGATCCCTCTTTTTGTCTCTGTCTCTATTTCTTGTTTTTCTGTTTGATCCGTCGCCATGAATATCTTGACACAGAGATCTCTTGCTGTTTCAAATCCTTTATTCATTTTGTATGCTTGGTTCATACTCTTACAGTCACTCACACTGAATCTAGCCAATGCATCAATCCATTTCTACGACAAAGAAGCTTTCATTGATGTCGGTAACTCTTTCCTTCTCTCCGGCGGCAGTGAAGGTCTTGCGGCGTCTCTCGCGGCTAATTCCGATACGCCTTCTGTCCGCAATGTCCAATCTTCGATCCAGTACTCTTCATAACTCTTTGGATGTCTTGATTTTGATTCATGTGCTTCTTTTGCGAGTCCGTGTGGATAAGTTTTGTTGAAGGTGTCCTTGAAATGGAGCTGTAATTGCGTTTTAATTTCGTTATACTTGAGCTGGATCTGTGTTCATTTTGTTATATTGGGGGTAACATTTGGCTTTAAAACATGATTCATTGGCGAGATAGAAAATGAAGAACAATATCTTTCCATTGAAGAATTTCGTTTTGTTTAAAGATCATATTTGATTAGAAAATTTGTTTTGAACAACTTGGCTAGTAACTCTGTTTCTTGTTTCTAAAGATCATATTGACCTATCTGCACGCATCGTCGAGAATGCTTTGAAGGATTTAATTATTCACAGAAACTGGTTTTTGTAAAATTTATGCCCTGCTGTAGCTCACTGAATGTTTATAATCTGTATGTATATATGTATGTATTCTTCTCTCAGTACATGAAATGATATGAACCAAGAGACATCAATCATACAATATGCTTCAATGTAGCATGAATTGAAACATCTTTTGATTATTTTGATAACCTTTTCTCCACATCTTCATTGTTACACTTTATGGCCATAATTAGCCATTATGTAAATGTAACCGAAATTAAATAAAAAGTCTTAAAACACAATAACTCTAAATTATAACCCACCCAAAATTTACAACAATCAAACTTTATTCTTCTTCAATGTAGCATGAATTGAAACATCTTTTGATTATTTTGATAACCTTTTCTCCACATCTTCATTGAAGCATATTGTATGATTGATGTCTCTTGGTTCATATCATGAAATTTACAAATGGGACAGATTTTATAATATCACCTTTTGGAGGAGCAAAGCTGCTGCCGACCAACATACAGACATGGAGCATAGCACTGGATTGATACAAGTTATCATCTTTGAGGCTGCTGATCGCGATAACATTGGTGGTTCGGCTTATGGTGGGCAGAGAGCTGTATGTTGCACTCCAGATCTTGCCAAGTTTGAAGGATGTAAGCAAGGGGAAGTCATTAAAAGACCTTCTTCATCAGATATTAACTGGCCTGTTGTTGTAAATGTGCAGTTCAGTGGTAACTATCTTCACACTCGCATGGAAGATATGGAGGTTTCCATTACAAAAACTGGAATGTATAACTTGTTCTTTGTAACATGTGATCCAAACCTCAAAGGATTGGTGATGAGTGGGAGAACAAAGTGGAAAAATCCCCATGGCTATTTACCAGGACGGATGTTCTCTTTAATGAGATTTTATGTATGTATGTCCGTTGCATATTTATTGCTTATTGTCATTTGGCTATCTCAGTATGTGAGGTTCTGGAGAGATATTCTGCAACTTCAGCATTGCATCACAGTCATCGTTGCGCTCGGATTATTTGAGATGGTCCTGTGGTACTTTGAGTATGTAAACTTTAACGATACCGGAATTAGGCCAGTCGTAATCACAACATGGGTGGTGACTGTGGCTGCTGTAAGGAAAACTGTTACACGGCTTCTTATACTGTCAATTGCCATGGGTTATGGTGTCGTTCGGCCCACTCTTGGTGGTCTTACCTCAAAGGTTCTTCTTCTAGGGATTACTTACTTTTTGGCATCTGAGTTATTGGATATTACAGAGTATGTTGGGATTATAAATGATGTTTCTGGAAGAGCAAGACTGTTGCTAGTCCTCCCTGATGCGTTCCTAGATGCATTTTTAATATTGTGGATTTTTACTTCCCTTTCAAGGACGTTGGAGCAGCTACAGGTATTGCTTTCCTGTTCCTGATATCCGCCAAGTTTAACAGCATGGATCCTCTCATTAGATAATCTTGTTTTTTTTCTTCTTTTCTTTCAGATGAAGAGGAGCTCTGTTAAGTTGGAAATATATAGGAAGTTCTCAAATGCTTTGGTGGCCACTGTCATTGCTTCTGTTGCTTGGATTGGATATGAGGTATGACTTCAAACTCTTTACACAATTTGTTCCTTTATCCATGCAGACATCTATAGTGCCAACCTAATGCTTTACCAAATGAAAAACAAAATATAAAAACGGGATATTGAAGTTAGTGTGAGATCCCACATTGGTTGGAGAGGGGAACGAAGCATTACTCACAAGGGTGTGGAAACCTCTCCCTAGTGACACGTTTTAAAATCGTGAGGCTGACAGTGATACGTAATGGGCCAAAGCGGACAATATATGCTAGCGGTGGGCTTGGGCCATTACAAATGGTATAAGAGCCAGACACCGGGAGATGTGCCAGCGAGGACGTTGAGCCCTCGAGATCCCATATCGGTTGGAGAGGGGAACGAAACATTTCTTACAAAGGTGTGGAAACCTCTCCCCAACTGACGCGTTTTAAAATTGTGAGGCTGATGGTGATATGTAACGGACCAACGCGGACAATATATGTTAGCAGTGGGCTTGGGCCGTTACAAATGGTATAAGAGCCAAACACCGGGCGTTGTGCCAATGAGGACGCTGAGCTCCCAAGGAGGATGGATTGTGAGATCCCATGTTGGTTGGAGAGAGGAACGAAACATTCCTCGTAAGGGTGTGGAAACCTCTCCTTAGCAGACGTGTTTGAAAACCGTGAGGCTGACGGCGATACGTAATGAACCAAAGTAGACAATATCTTATAGCGGTAAACTTAGGTTGTTACAATTAGTGCTTGAGTCTTCTAGCTGATGCATGCTGTGCAGTAATTGGTGTATAATTATGGAAAGTTTTCTCCAGGGTTACTAATAGAGTTCAAATTGCACAATGAAATCTACATGAACCTCATTGTTTTAGGGACTCTTGCCCACCGTGTCTTCTAGTTATTATTTTAGTGCTGTCTTGTACAGCAATGTTTCATGATAAGCTTTTGCATATGGTAGGTCTACTTCAAGGCGACAGATCCCTTTAATGAAAGGTGGCAGAGTGCTTGGATCATAACTGCTTTTTGGAACATTCTTGCATTTGCTTTATTATGCGTTATCTGCTATCTCTGGGCTCCATCACAAAGTTCTCAACGGTGTGTTCTATACTTTCCAATGTTTTACCACTTTCTGTCACCCTAATCCTAAGTTTTAACAATCATGAACCAAGGTATGCTTACTCTGATGAAATCGGAGCTCAATCTGATGATGAAGAAGCTCAATCCCTAAACCGAGCAAAGCCAGAGAGTGAACTTAGTTTTGCGAACCAAGCGCAGAACGTCGACGAAGACGATGACAGGGAAGCGGATAAAGGAGAATGATCAGTAACCTTTGATTCATTCCTTTTGTTTTGATCTGCAGTAAGTCCAGTTCATGGGAGTCCTCGCCTAGATCACCCAATACTCAATGGAAGTGTTAACTGGATATTGAGGGCTCGCCCTGCAACATGGCAGCACAAAGAAGAGTGTGTATATTGAGATGAACTTTCTGTATTCTTTTTTACCCCATTATCTTCATTTGTTTTGTAAAGTCTTATTTGCATATATATATATATATATATATTCTTTGAATTATTAGTATATTTTAAAAACTAGAAATTTATTCTCATCATTTGTTAAATTTATTATAAATAACTAATTTTTAAAGTTTCATTTTGATCTTTCAAATTCTTATCATGATTCATTTGGATGTTATGGTCAATTCATTTGACTCGATGTCAGTGTCCTGGTCATGTCTATTCAGGACGTCTTGTCTCTAGTTGCATATATGTGATATATTCAACCCTTTTTACTTCCTTTCGGGTTATATGATTTGGCTCTTGCTATACTTGAATTGTCTGTACTAAAAGAACTAAATAGTCATCAAACCTACCCCGATCAAATATTATAATAGCTCTTGTCTACGTGTTTTCAATGCAATCGACTTTAACCATGCACATTTTTCAAACACATTTTCTCTCAAAATATAACCATTCGAGATTGGACCATGCATATGAATTATTCGCGAAGTTTGATTTTTACCTGATGGCTCGTTCATTGATTAAAACAAGCGTCGCATAATTGTTGTGTCATTACTAAAATGCGATTGTGACACTAGACAAAATAAAGCATTGGGTGGGTAAGCAAAAGAAACGACATGTTCATGAGTTTTGAGAATGCTACGAAATTGTGAAACACGTGCATGACTGTAATTATAATTCGACTGTAATTATAATTCTTAAAGACTTGATGGGATGCACGGTAGATTTTGTTTGAGATGTTAACTAGGATTTTTTTTTTTTATGAAGCCAGTATATCGGATTTCATAAATGCTTTTGGACTAAATTTATTATTTAACTAATTTTTTTTTAAAAGATAGAATTTAACAATTTTTTTCCAAAATTTTATGAGTTTTAAAATTATGACATTAATTGGTATAAGGTTAATTGAATAAAATAAATAGATAATTCAATTTTTATAATTGTTTGAATTAAAAAAAAATATATTACTTCTTTGTTTTATAAGCTTCAACCACTTCCCAATTAATATATATATCTTTAAATTTATACTAATTTATTTTATTTTGAAATTTTATTTAAAATTTAAGGTAAATAATAAGTTGAGCTAAATTTGTGCTATTGATATCTAATATATTTAATTTTTTTAAATAATTATATCTTAATTAGATTTAATAGGAGGAGGAAATTTTTTAAATTTTAACTAAGATTTGATTAATATATTAGGAGATAAAATCATAAATACTATTTTTTTTTATCTAATTAAATTAAAATTAATAATAATAATAATAATAAAAGTAAATAAATGAATTTTAATTTTTAATAGAAAACGGATATTATTTTCTCGTGTGAAGAGTGCCGTTCTTCGCATGTTAGTATCAATTTCTTCTATTCGCCTTTTCCAATTCCTTGTTTGTTCTCGTCGTCTCTCGCATGGCGGACCAATAATCATCAACTCAATTCCCATTCCATATCAGACGATAATTCAATCCCCATTTTGCCTAAGTTCTTCCCCGATTCCTTCATTTATCTGCTCTCTTCTCCTACTCTCCAACTTTTGCGTTCTTCCCAGACGCATTGCTTCGATACAGGGTTCCATTCACCACTTATACCCACTCCTTTGCTTTCCCCTTCCTTTCAATTTCAATCACTGGGCTCAAGGTTAGTATTCTTTCTTAATCCTTCCCTCCGTGTTTCTTATTTGCTGGGATTTACTTCCGTTTATTTCGGCTATGAGATTGTTGTTTCTGATTATAGGGTGTGGATTCGAAGTTTATTTTATGTAGCATGCTCTAGGGTTTTTATTGTTTGCACTTTTGTTGTTGTTTTCTCTGATTTTGTTTACTCCTTTAAGGGTCTTCTGATTGAATTTATTGCGGCGTTTTCTAGTGTTGCGTCCGAATTCTGAGTGTTCTTCCTCTGTGAACGTAGATATAATCTCCATTCCTATTTCTACCGCCATTTTACGCTGTGATGAGGGGCTTCTGAGTTATTGACGCTGCCTTCCAATCCGTTGTTTGGGGAAGATGGGTGAGGGAAAGCGAATTGCTCTTCTTCATTCCGTTGCATTTTCTTTCAAATAGTCTTTATGCCATTGCCATAGCATTCTTTTGTCGTCAGGCTGCAATCCTTTGCAATTAATGCTTTTGGTGAAACTTCAGAGGGTTCAAGCGATATTGTCATTGTCAATTAGAATTCAGTAACAATGTCACTGTCACGCTTGGATATGTTCGGTTTCTAGTGATTACGATTTCTAATGCAGAATCGTTGTTGGAGGAGAATAAATCTGCAAGACAGGGTGGGAAGTTAGCTAGTCTGTAGATGATTGATTTTTTTTATTTAGGCTGAGTCAAATCTTTCCTTTCCATCCTTCAAACAATTGTAATACTGGCGTCCTTCCAACTAGTCTCTTGCCTAACTCTTTTATTTCATTGATGCCTCTATAAACAATTATAGCACTTTCACGATTTGCTGCGGGCATTAGAAAGGACTAGTACTTCTGCTGGCGTTGTCTTAATAACTATTTAAAGAATGTGGTTAAGGATGCGAGATGTGTTATGCTGTCATGGTTGATCATGTTTAATACTCATGATGGAAAGAAGTGAACCTACATTAGTTCCAGAGTGGCTGAGAAATTCTGGTAGTGTTTCCGGGAGTGGGAATTCAGCCCAACAATTTGCATCGCCTTCTCCTAACTCAGGTAGTTTGTAGTTTACAATATTTTGGACATCAACCTATTCCTTTTCAGTAGTCTTATTTATTTTATTTCATTATATTCAGTAATTTGTTATTATTCACTGTTTACTAGATGTTTCTTCGCAAGCTCAATACTCGAGGAGTAGAACTTCAAAGAGCATTAGCGATATAGATAAACCGCACATTGATTTATTGGATTGGTCATCTTCGTCAAGCTCAAAGAGGAGCTCTAGTCATGTCTCTGGAAAGAATGCTTACAGTAGTTTTAACAGGAATCATCGTGATAGGGACCGTGAGAAGGAGAAAGAAACTTCAAATCTTGGGGACCCTTGGGGTCATGACTTTTCTGGCCCTCTGGCAAATACATATTCCAGTAGGGCTGATAAAGGAGCTTTGCAGCGTTCCCAATCGATGATATCTAGGAAGCAAGGTGATTTATTTCCTCAAAGAGTTGCTGCTGACTCAAAAAGTGGAGGCTATAATCGTAACCCGAACATTAATGGCTTTCATTCAGGAAGTACCATTAATGGTATCACTGATAAGGCTGTTTTTGACAAGGATTTTCCATCACTTGGATCAGAAGAAAGGCAAGGAGGACCAGATGTAGGAAGAGTATCATCTCCTGGCTTGACCACATCTGTTCAGAGCTTGACTATTGGAAATTCAACTTTCATTGGTTGGGAGGGATGGACCTCAGCTCTGGCTGAGGTGCCAACTATAGTCACAGGCAGTACAGCTGCTCCATCATCTGTTCAACCGACTGTTGCTGCTAATTCTGGGTTGGGGTCTCCAAATGCAACAACTCCACGAAAGATGGCTGAAGCTTTAACACAGGCACCAACAAGAGCTCGTGCTGCGCCTCAGTCAACTGAGGTAGTTGTTTTCCTCTTAAAATTTTGTAGAACACATTTACCGCAGTTGATATAATTCCATTTTTTGTTTGTATTCTGCCAGTCACAGAGGCTCGAGGAATTGGCTATTAAGCAGTCCAGGCAATTAATCCCAGTAACGCCTTCAATGCCGAAAGTTTCTGTAAGTTTTTTCTTCAGCGACACTATTTTTATAGTTCAATATTCCCGAAATCTACCTGTTTTATGGTTCAGGCAACGGAAATCTTTATTTTTCCATATTCTTCTTTAATCTTCTGTGTCTAATATTGGTGTGTCTTATCTGCTATTCATTTGTATTAGTAAAAAAAAAAAAAAACTTTGGAGATTGAGAACTTTTAAACCCAGAAGCTTTCTTTAGGAATTATTTGCAGGTTATACTTCTTCTCATTGGTAATCTTTGGCCCACTCTGTTTTTGGAGACAAAATATGGGCAAAATATTAATAGCTAAAACGTGATGGCATCATGATATGAATGGGATATTTTCTAAAGTTAAAATCTTGATATTTTGATGGCATTGCCCCAGAGGAGCCAAATTGTTCTTATCTGTTGACTATTGGATTTACATAATTGAGCTTTCATGATCATTGGAACATGTTGGTTGCGTGGGATGTTGTTCTTCTAGTTAATGTTTGAATTAGAAAATTCAAGTAATGAAGTGAAAATAAAACTAGTTCAGGCTCACTGTTAAACATATTCGTTTATGCTCATATTTTATTGCTGATATGGAAGATCTGTAATTGTGATTGTGACAATGTCTTAGGCAATATATTCCTTCGTGAAAAATAATAATGCAAAGATTGTGAAATAATAATAGTAATAATGTTAGACGAGTTCTATAAGTGATGGAAATATGAATATCTCCGAGTTCAGCACAAGATTATAGATTCATAGACAAAGCCAAGTGAACAAGATTGAGACGCAGAAAAAAGATCTAACTCAAATGTAAGCTACTGAAAAAGATCTTTATAAGTTGGACCAAGTATTATAAAGTTTTCGGAATTGGAGCTCCATTAGCAAGCAACAACAGAGACATTTTCTCAAAGATGTGAAGGTTTTATTAAGAATATTTGAACATCAATCTATTTCTCAAAAGCGCGAGTCTTCTATAAAACAGATCAATGCCATTTTTAGCCACAATCTCACTAAACAAACTCCCTTGTCTTCTGGCTTCCTGTTCCACTACAACTTTGGCCTGTACTGCAGCTGAGGGTCCCTAGGGCCCAGAGTATCCTACCGGACCCTACAAATGTACAGTTTCCATTACCCTTTTACATTCGATCTCACTCTCCTTCAAGTGCAAAAATATGTTGCAAGTCAGCTCTCATAGTACACAACTAAGTCGTGTTGGTCCCATGTTGAATTTTTTAGCAATACTGATTGCATAATCTGAATCTCTCTGTCTTCAATTCTGATTTGGGAATCCTTTTTTTCTAGGTTCTTTTTTTAAGGGTTGAAGAGGGACAAGTTGTGTTATAAATGACATTCTTGGTTACAATGAAGCTTTCTTGATCATTTTATCAAAATAGATATGTTAATGATGAAAATAATAGAATCTTAGAGGAAAAGGTATTTATTGGAAACTCATAGTGTTGAAATATTTCTTATTCCATAATCCATATAGGAAATCTTTTCTGGCGATATAACATTCTCTGCAACGTTGTACATGTTGAAGACAATTGTTCGAATAACTGAATGTGTTGACTATAAAACTTTAAATTATCTCAGATTTGTTGCCTCATTTACTTCTCAGGTCCTTAATTCTTTTGAAAAATCTAAATCTAGAGGAGCATCCAGAACTACTGAACTGCATGTGCCTGCCAAGGGAGGCCATCAACAGCTCCCTGTTGTGCAGCATAATAGTCAATCTCTTCGAGGTGGACAAGTCAAGTCTGATTCTCCAAAGGCCTCTCATGGGAAATTCCTGGTTCTCAAACCAGTATGGGAAAATGGTGTGTTAAAAGACAGCTCAAATCCTATTAGTAATGTCAACAGTAGAGCTCCAAATTGCCAGCCTTCTGTTGCCTCTTCAGCAACACCGAAGACTTCAAGGAACAACCTGAATCCTCCATCCTCTTTGGAGCGGAAGGCGGCGGCCTTAGATCTGAAATCAGCATCCACTTTGGAAAAGAGACCCCCTTCTCAATCGCAAAGCAGGAATGATTTCTTTAATCTCATAAAGAAGAAAACTTCCGTAAATGGTTCCACTAGTCTCCAAGATTCAGGTATTTGCACATCCCCTGTCAAGGAAAAGTCGGGGATAGTTAACGAGGAAGTAGGTGGTTCTCCCGTGCAGCCTTCTACTGTTACAGATGAGTTGATTAGCAATGGCAATATCACCAAAGAGGATCAGAGGTTTTCCAAGACCGTGAATAAAAGCTTGAGTCCTAGCATAGCATTATGTACAGATGAGGAAGAGGCTGCATTTCTTCGTTCTCTTGGATGGGAAGAAAATTCAGGAGATGATGAAGCGCTTACAGAAGAGGAGATTAATGCTTTTTATGAGCAGGTAAATGGTGCTTGTTTCCTATCTTGTCATTTATATTTTTGCTTCAGCATTCCTTGGCTATCGTTGTTTGATTTCAGTGTCAGTCTTCTTATCAAAAGAGAAATTGACGCCAGTATACAGGAATGAGTATGATCTTTTCTTTTCCTGGGTTCCTGTCTTTTTAATGCTTAATTGTGTCGATAACGTGCTGGTCAATAATACGCATGGTCCTAGCTTAAACTTAAATCATGTCACTGTTGCAGCCATTATTATTATCTTTTTTTAATTGGGGGATCTGGATAATAACCATAGGCTTGACTACTTATCAACAGGACAAGTTATAAACTCAAATTTCCCTGAAGTCATGGATTCAATTCTTGTGCTCCCTAACCTAAGAAATTAAGTGATATTGGTTTCCAATGTTAAATATTGTGAGGTGCTCATTAGCTAGCTGGATATCGGACAAGACGATCAAAGGGGATATAAATACTGAAGGATCTTTACTATTTGAGGATATTTATGACTTCAGGCATATTGTTAGAGTTGAGATTGTTTTAACTCAGTTGTTTTGTTTGTTGTATTTATACAACATTATCCGAGCACTTAAGACTACAATTGTTTTGTTGCAGTACATGAAAATGAAGCCGTCATTGAAGCCGATCAGATGCAAGTTACCAGAACCCTCCAATGCTGTCTGAATACTACAAATCTTTCATGTGGGATCCTTTTTGTCAGTTTAGAGTCATAAAAGGAAAAAAAAAAAAATTGAGAATGTTGGGCAGGAAGCAGAGAGTGAGTGTTGGTGTTGGTGTTGGTTTGGCGAAGTGCAATAAGTGATAGGTTACAAGTCGTCTCTGCTTTCTTACAACTGATTTTGTTTGGTTTTTTGAGTAGAACAATCGGAAAAAGGGTTGGATAGGCAATGTGCTCTTTGTTTGCAGTTGCAGCTGAAGATGGCACTGCAATTTGCATCTTTTCGGTATTTTCGCCCTTTTGTTACTCTTTAAATTGATCTTATAAGATGGCCTGCTTTGCTTTTCATAGGAAAAAAAGATTAATTTTTATCTCTTCATTATTGTCTTTGTTTCCTTCATGTGGTTAATTTACAATATTACCAATAGGAATTAGGCTTAGTTTTTTTCTTTTTTTCTTGTGTTTATTCTTTTTCTAATTGGTGATAAAGGGATTTTTTTTTTTTAAAAAAAAAATTGTTGACCTGGGCTAAGGAACAGGGTTGACCATGCCCCATCCCTTGTCATAATCGCCCTCTTCTTGGCATAGGATTTGGCGATTGTGTGGTATTCACTCTCAGCACTGAGTGAGTCAAGCTAACTTAGTTGGATTGCGTCTCCTACGGTCGGATAATGTGTATTCTCACACCTTTGGCCCCGATTTGAGAAGAAGGTTTTATAAAATGAGGACAGATAGATTTTGAAAGAAGGTTGAGAGAGATTGAAAACAATGTTATATGACACACAAGTAAAAGACAACACAACGGTTTAAATAGCATATAACTTTTCGAGAGAATTTGACAACTAGTTGTATCCCCTATAGTACATTTTGAGGCGATTCAAGTTAGGCAGCGATTCAAGTTAGGCAGGTCTAGACGTGATTTCACGTCATACAAAATCTAGGTAGAAGGAGTTGACGACTAGTCTCATTCCCACATAATACATTTTGAGACGATTCAGGTTTGGTAGGCCTAAACAAGTTGATGACTGGTCACATCCTCTATAATCATGTCTAGAGTTGACAATTGGTCACATCCTCTATAATTATGTTTACAGTTGACAATTGGTCACATCCTCTATAATTATGTCTACAGTTGACGACGGGTCACATCCCCTATAATCATGTCTACCAGGTGTAGACGTGATTTTGCCGTCATACATTTGGAAAAAGCAAGAAGGAAATTATACATCATGAAAGCAATAAATCTGCCAAAACGTCATACACTTAGAAAAAACAAGAAAGAAATTATACATCACGAAAGGAAAGGAAAGTGATAAAGGCAGTGGTTTCAGCATGTAACAGGCATGCAGCCATAAACAACACGATTTAGACAAACATACACATTGCAAGCCTAAGTGTCGGCCGTCTCAATAAACAGATGGTCACCAAACTATACACGTAAATGTAATCATTTAATTTGAAAGCTATATACTTTCTGTTTAACCAAACAAATTCACCGGAAGCTCCTATTCCCAGGCATCTGCTTCATCAGATACTCCGCGTTAGAATCATGTGCTAACTTTAATGAATAAATTGATGCGCACAGTTTGAGGTAGGCTGGAATCTCATTCCCCTAAAGTGGCTAAATAATTGATCCCAACCCCCTTTTTCTCTTCACTTCACCTATTTATAAATACACCCCTTCCCATGCCTTCCAATACACACATCTAGACACAAACCATGGCTCAACAACCATCTCTCTCCGCCGAGACCGACAGCCTAAGCCACATCTTCAGCCTCATAGAAGCATTCCGAGCATTCGATGCCGACAACGACGGTTTGATCTCAGCAGCGGAGGTCGGGGGGATCATGGGCTCGCTCGGGTACAACCTGAGCGAGCAGGACGTGAACGTGATGATGGAGGAGGGCGACGTCGACCGAGATGGGCTGCTGAGCATGGGGGAGTTCTTGGAGATGAGTGCAAGGAGTGTGGAAGTTGGGGAGGTGGGGAGGTATTTGAAGGTTGCCTTTGAGGCTCTAAATGCTGATGGGGATGATCTTGTGAGTGGGGAAGAGCTTTATGAAGTGTTTGTGAATTTGGGATTGGATGTTTCATTGGAGGATTGCATGGCTATTGTGGCTTCTATGGATGGTGATGGAGATGGAGCTGTTTTTCTTGAGGATTTGAAACTTATTGTTAATTCTCTTGATTGATTTACTCCTTATCTCTTGCTTTTATGTCTTACTTCCAAATTTTAGTTTAAGTTCTTCTGTAATTCCCGTTGCAATATTTAACTTTCTTTCGTATCAATAAATTTATGTTCGTGTAAATTGTTGTTAGACGATCAGATATACTTCTTTTTTCCTTGGATATCACACACTACTTAATTTGAGGAGTGAAAGTTAAGGAGATTGCCCGTGATTTTTCTTTTAAATACTCATCGATGTATGTCATTTTTACAGATAATAAAACAACAAAGAGAATTGAAAAACATAACTGCCTAAAGTTTCTCCATCGGTGATTTCTTCCTGTAAATACTCCTTTACACGATTTCATACCTGACTTTTTATGATTAGATTATGAACTTCAATGCGAAGTTGATCAACTTTTTACATACTTTGATTGATTGTTGATGTTTTGTTATTCAAAATGTTAGAAATTACAAGGTTTGAAGTTGAAATTAATATTCCTTATCCTAGCATAGCTTTTGGAGGGTTCTCATTCCTTTAACTAAGGAATTAGATTCAAACAAGTCAAAACAATAATGACATATAATCTATAGTAATTGTTCGACTTCATAGCTTACTAATTAAGACATTATTATATAAAAACGACTTTAACGACTATGTATTAATAATATCTATAAAACTAAATCATAAATATAAAGAACAATTCACACATCAACGTAAGAACAACGTAGGTTTATAACCAAGAAATACTATTTCTATTGGTACAAAACCTTTTGAAAAAGCACAAAGCAAAGCCACGGGAGCTTATGCTCACGGTAAACAATTATCATATTATTGTGGAGAGGCGTGTTCATTTAACTAAACTTAGTTATGTTAATAGAATTCTCGAATGTCATCGAGGGTGGAAAAGCCCAAAGCTAAGCCAGGAGAGATTAGGCTCAAAGTGAACACTATTTGGACGGCTTCCATTAGGTAGAAAAAGCCACAAACAACATTCACAACATTCTTTAAAGACTCAAACCCTAAAAAGAAACCAAAAATGGATTACTTACTCGTTTTAGCCACCTTTCTTAATCGGGCTAGGCGGCGGCCGCCCAATCCGCTTACCGACCGCCGTGACTCGATACCTCCGGCAACCATCACTCGGCGGCTCCAACAGAACCGGAAGATAGTTATTAGCATGGCACCAAAACACCTTGTTCCTAAAAGCCTCCATGAGAGCCTCCAAACCCTAAACCCACAAAACACCATTCTTTACATCAACATCTAAACAAACAACTAACCAACCAACCAAAAACAATGGCTGAAATTGACCTGAATTTTAGCACGTTTAATTTCACACACTTTTCTGTTCACCGAAACCTCCCATTGACGGCGGTGATACGCTTTACAAAACTCCGAAGCTCCTTTAGAACTCGTGAAATTCACAAATGCATACCCCAAATTTGAAACCTTTCCATCGAACCAAAATTTCCTGAAAATTTTGAAATTTTAGTAATTCATGCAAAATCCCATAATGGGTTGTTCCAAGAATTTGAAATTTTAGTGTTTTCATGCAAAATGACATAATGGGTTGTTCCAAAAATTTGAACTTTCTTTGAAATTGAGCTGACCCGAAATCCATTGGCAAGTAAACGAAGTCGTACTCCGACCGGAAGCTGTTTTGATTAGAATATGAATTCTTGCACTTGCAATGTTCGTCCAAAATTTGCAAGAGATTATGTCGCCTGTTCATAAAAAAAGGGTCAACTTCATAAAGTTTTGTAATAAAATAATGAGAAATTTCACCTCAATTGATTGGGGATGTTCTTGATCATGACGGTGGTGGTTTCCAAGGGCATGAGATCGGGGGCAGATGGAACCCATTTCTTAATCTTGGATTTTTTGTGGTGAGATTTGACGTCGCCGTTGCCGACGGGATTTTCCAAGTGAGAGAGAGAAACCCCGCCGCCACCGCCGGGAAAAGGAAGTGGCGGAACGAGGTGGTAGAAAGCGAAGATGGGATGATGGGGGGGTTGGTATGGGTGGATGTAGGATTGATATCCATGAAGGGGTGGGAGAGATAGAAGGGCGTGGCGGAGGTGAGGCGGCGGCGGGGGACGAGATGGCGTGGTGGAAGGGAAAGGGTCGGCGTTGGGGTTCAGAGAACTGAGACGGCGGAGAGCCATTATGGACGAAGAAGAAGACGAAGAGATGGCGTTTTGGTTTGGTTTGATGATGGGATTTGGTTTAAAATGATGAAATTAGTACTAAAAGGGAAGCATTTCCGAGTTTCATTAAATGCTCCGTTTCCACGTTTGGGTTTGGCGGCGAGGCTTTGTGTCATGCTCGCCGCCATCTTACATCGACACACAAAATCCTAAGCTTGTTGAAGGGTCGGGTAGGGTCCTAGGCCTTAATCTCAAAAGTCAGAGATTTCGATGAAATTGAGCATGCGATTCTGAAGTTAAGTCCGTACATATGAAATATGAATGCTCGCTAAGTTTGGTGTCAATCGTGCATTGGACGGACGCTGCACGGTACCGTAGATTTAAAATGTACTATAGGAGCGGTACCATGGTGTGAGCTCTCGTGATGTCTCACATTGGCTGGAAGAAGAACAAACCATCATTTATAAGGGTGTGGAAATCTTCCCCTAACATACGCATTTTAAAGCCTTGAGGGGAAGTCCGAACGGGAAAACCCAAAGAAGACAATATCTGCTAACAGTGGATCTGGGTCATTACAGCTCTCCACCACTCCTGGGCCCTATGGCCTAAACGATACCGTATAACGGTTCACCAAAATCATGTCTATACTTAGAAGATTAAAAATGTACTATACGGGTACCATGGTGTCAGCTCTCCACCACCCTTGGGTCCTGTAGCCTAAGTGAGCTACTCTGTAGCACATACGTGTGTCACAGTGTGAGCGACGTGCTGAGACGAGTATCTCGAGCGAATTCCTTTGAAGTGCTAGCACATGTTGCTGTCAGCCTCATAATTTTTAAAAGTTGATCGAGTTAACTCACACGATAACTATAAATCTATAAAATTTAAATAGAAAAGAAAAGATATGAATAGAATCCAAAGTGTAGATTAGATGAGATAATTGGAGTTATAAAGGGTGTAGAAATGATTAGCAAATTCAAAGCAAAGTAAGTAATGATTACAAATTCTGGAAAAAAATCTGGGAAATTGAGGCCTAATTTAATGAATTTAAATACCTGTCTTTTCAACTTCCATATATATATATATATATATATATATATATATGCCAAATAATTACTGGGCCCAAGCCTTCTTGGGCCTCCTACAACAACTAATCCTAGCCCAGCCCAATACTTCAAGTTTGTTGGGCCTACACTTCCATAACCACAATTTCTTTTTCTTTTTTCTTTTTCCTACTAATTTTCACAAACAATATAATATTCATACTTCTCACATCACACATTTGTTGTCTTATAAAGGCAGGAAACCGAGCATTTTAAAACCATGAGGTTGATACACAACCGACCAAAGCAGACAATAATTATTAGCGGTGTGCTTAAACTGTCACAAATGGTATAAGTGCCAAACACCGGATGGTGTGCCAGTGAGAACGTTGGTCCCTCAAATGAGGTGGATTGTGAGATCCCACATCAGTTGGAGAGGGGAACGAAGCCCTCGTTATAAGGGTGTGGAAACCCCTCCCTAATAGGCATGTTTTAAAACCATGAGACTAACGACAATATGTAATGGACAAAAACGGACAATATCCACTAGGAATGAGTTTGAGTTGTTACAAATGGTATTAGAGCTAGATACCAGGCAGTGAGTCAGCGAGGACATTTGGCCGCTTAGGGTGGTGGATTGTGAGATCTCATATCGATTAGAGAGTGAAACGACGAAACACTTCTTATGAGGATGTGGAAATCTCTCCCCCCTAGTAGACGCGTTTTACAAACATAGCAAAGCAAAAGAGACAATATCTACTAACGGTGGGCTTAGACCGATACAATATCATGTTCCCATGTCTTGTTTGTAGGAAGTATCTCCCATATCTCCATCCTATTTTCCACCGTGATCTTATTACAGCGATCTTGTAGTACAAATGTCTGTTCCCAACACAATGAGAGACCTCAAAAGCCTAAAACAACCCAATTCACAGTTTGAAACACCCACAAAAGGAAGCTTCAAATGGATCTAAAGTGGATTCATTTTGAGGCTCTCAAGAACACCAACAACAACAATAATAACAAACCAAACCAAACCAAACCAAAGGTGTTGTAATTATTCAACTTTGAGGCCAAGATTTTTTGGGTAAATGTGTTTAGGTATAGTAATTGTTGGTGAAATCAGACAAAATCATTAACCCTATGTTTGTTTGTTTGTTTTGTCCAACGTAGGTGTTGGTTGGTTGGTTGGTTCTAGTTTGTAATGGTTTTTGGGTTTGTGTTCCCTTTAATGCAACCCCTTATGATAGGAGCAAAACAACGAAAACATGGTCGGGTCGATAATTGGACTATGTTAATGAGGGTGGTTGATGCTAGAATTTTGTTGATTGTCCGATCAACATTGAATTTGTATTATACCATGTTACAAGCACTCTCCGAAAATTGGAGATGGCTCGAGTGTGTAATTACTTGATGGTTTTCGTTATCACATTCATAAATATAATAGTTTATTCCTAAGTTGACTTTTCACTTCCACACCCTATTCTAAACCGTTTTATTAATACTTTTCAACTTCTTAAAAAAGTTCAACAATATTCTTACTGTTCCCACTATGTTTAAAATTCTTACTGCTGAACAAAATATATATATATATATATAATCTTTTATTATAGACAAATATTTACATGCTTAATATAGGTATTATATTTCTTTTATTGTTATACGTAAATAGATAACTTTGATGGTCATTACGAGCGTGGGCGTTGAATTGAATTGATGCACGTAAAAGGACGGCAATGGCATGCATTCATTCACTCACGCTTTACTTTGCTGCCAATTTCTGCTAATTCTGTTTCTTTCGTACCCATAATTCCCCTTTTCATTTACTCCTAAACCCACATTTTCTTTTTTGTTTTTATTTTCTTATAAATGGAAATTTAAGGTACAAATGAAATTTAAAAATATATTTAAAATGAAGTTATTAATTTGAGTAAATAAAAAAATAATTTTTAAAAATGTAGATAATAATGATGGAAGAAAAAGGAAAGCGTGTGGGAGAAAGATGAGGGATGAAGAACTGATGGCGCTGAGTTAGGCAGGGCATTGAGTATGAGGTGCTACTCAAGAACACCATCATCACCCTTGCTTCCCTTTGGTCGCTTCCATGCTTCCCAATTCCCCGCCCGTTACTCCCGTTTCTTCCACTTTTTTGTCGGTTTAATTCAACCGAATGATCATGGGTTTATAAGCAAAGAATACATGTTCATTGGTATGAGACCGTTTGGGGAAGCCCAGAGCAAAGCCATGAAAGCTTAGGCTCAAAGTGAACAATATCATACCATTATGAAGAGTCATGATTCCTAACATGGTATCAGAACTATGTCCTTAATTTCGTCATGTCATAGAATCCTCAAATGTCGAACAAAGAAGTTGTGAGTTTCGAATCTGTAGTCAAAAGTGACTCAAGTGTCGAACAAATGGTGTATTGTGTTCGAGGACTCTAGAGAAGGATTCAAACCTCGATTATGTTGGGAGGGAGTCTCACGTTGGCTGAAAATGATCATGGGTTTATAAGTAAAAAAATACATGTCCATTGATATGAGGCATTTTGGGAAAGTCCACTCAAAGTGGACAATATCGTACCATTGTGAAGAGTCGTGATTCCTAAGCACCTTAAACGTAAAAGACAGCATGTTATGCATGCTATTGAGCCTTGGAAGCCTTTGAAGCCCATTGATCCCACGTGGATTAAAGAAGGGAACAAAACATTTGTACAAGGGTGTAAAAACCTCTCTCTAGTAAACACATTTAAAAATTTTGAGATAAAAATCCAAAAAAGACAATTGATTATTGAAGTATAAATCTATTAGAATGTGAAACGTCACAGTGACTATAACAACATTTCAACATTCCAATGTCCCGTGAAGTCGAGATTCAATATGAAATTAAAATATGATATGTTAGCAAATGGCATCCATTGTTGTAATATAATGGGTAATGGGCAGCTTAAGAGTGACAGCCCATTCCTCCTAAACTAACCCAAATACATTAATACATTTAATATTCCAATATTATATTAATTTAAAACTTTATTAAAATACAATTCTTCAAATGTTAGGCATACAGACTTTTGAGGCACAATCCTTGACTTTGGTCTGCAACCATTTCCAATGACCAAATGGATCATATATATATATATATATATATTTATTTATTTATTTTATATTTATATATATTTTTTAAGGCTCTTAACTCAATGCCCCACTAAATTAATTTCCACTTTTAACCTTTTTTTTTTATTGGTCAAAATGGTGGGACTCTCTCTCTATTAAATATATTTTAATCTAATTAACTATTTATTTATTTTATAACAACTCTCCTTTTACAATATTTAATATTTATTATTTTTATGATTAATTGTAGCCTAGATCTTCATTAATATGTTACTTTAAAATATTATTATCTTAATAATTAGAAAATTAGATTTGAAATGATTAAAAAATATTTATTTTTATAGTAGAATATACTGAAAAAATTCGTGTTGGCGTGTAGAGATACGGTTTGGCTGGGTTTCAATGGGGCAAGGATTATGAATTTGAAATTTTTAATTTTTTATTCTTTTAAAGGATAAAAATGAAATTGTCAGAAAAGAAATTGGAAGGGGAAGAGATTTTTCTTTTTTTTTTTTTCTTTTTTGTGTTGGAATATGACTTTTTTATTATTATTCTTATTATTTCTTTTTATTAATTTTTGGCAACGGAATATATTAATAAGACAAAAACTAATAAAATAAAATAAAATAATTTAGCAATTATAGAGGAAGGTGGAAATAAAAATAAAAATAAATGTGTGAAGGAAATTAAAGGAAGTCCCAAAAATTATTAATTTTGAAAATAATGTAATGGCCCTCATTAAATAATTGAAACGGTTGTATTAATTCAAGAAACTTTTAGATTAAATGCCACGTGGTCCCACAAGCAGGCTTACATGAGAACGGCCGCATTGTAAAACAGCCCTTCTTAGGGCAAAAAAGAG